TAGTACATCTGTGTATCGTTTGTCAGGAAAGACACATTAAACATGCTAATGTAGTTAAAAGAACTGTTACAACATTCAGCAGAAGTCAATCTCTGTAAAGATAATAGTATGAAACATCTATGGCAAGCAATTGGGGATGGGAAATGTTAATTTAGTTTTAAGAAGTGTTACATAGATACAATAGGTATGTCCTGTAATAGATTGATCGTTTCCTAACGTTAATTGGCAAATATTTTATGAATGTTCAGGACGGGAAAAAATTTCTATTAAATGTGTTTCTCTCTCTTTCTCTCTCAAACTATACAAAAGGTCTACTTTAACCATGTAAACTGATTATGACCAAACGTATATACTTGAGAGGAACAGAGATATGTAAACAGACAACGTTAACTTTTCAGCGGGAGAGGGGATACAACTACTTTAGTCTGCCCTATCCCTCATTGTCGCATAACAGAAATGGTGGAGGCAAGTGGAAAGATCTACGGTACCCGTAATATTAGTAGTTTCCCCAAGATTGATTGATTGTTGGTTGCTTAACGTCCAGTGGCAAATATTTCATGCATATTCAGGACGAGAACAAATTAACAATAAATACAATAGGTAGGTTCTGTTTGAGGGGCGTCCGGGATTAAGGTCGTAGAAATTTAGACTGCCACGGGAAATGAGGGTATATTGGATAGGGACAGAAATTTAGCCTTGCAACAGGTCACCTACGGACCCCTCGAAGAGTTGTTGCAAGGGTTCTTAACGTGCAAAGAGCGTAGCACTCTCTTTACATTAGGCATCGGATTTAACGTCCCCATTCTGACCGGACGTGGCTACAAATTTGTACATCCCGCACAGCCAAACGGACGCCCCACTTTAGCACGGGTTTTACTGCCGGTCGGAGGAAGACCAATGGTGACCATACTTCTATTCCCCAGTCACCCTTGGGGGGGGGGGGGGGGGGGGGGGGGGGGGTTCCCCAAGAAGATGAAATCTAGCGGACTAGTGTTCTTGGCGTTGGAAAAGAAAAAGAATTATGTAATATATATTCTGAAGGAGAACAAAGTTTCAATACGACATCCATTCATATAAATAACACAAAACAACTATTTAACATGGAATTTACAGAGGCATTAATGGAATTCATGATTGAAGAGTTAGAATTTGGAACCTTGCCCGTGTAGCATATGCAATGCAAATGCTGAAATAAGGAGGGAAAGATATATTTAATAAACGTCCAATAGAGGATAATTCACTGAGCAATCGTTTAAAAGAATTATATCATCTGAAACAAACTTTTACTCTGAAGAAATAGTAAGACTATGAAAAGTTATGAATTTGACAAAAACATAATAGAAAACGACTAATACGGATTTGGATTAGGATCACATTTTCATGACTCAATTTCTGCAAAAAGTTAAATGAACGCCTCACTTTGGCAAGTGATTATATTTCTATTCCCCAGACGCACTGGAGACACAAGTGAAGAGAAACTTCACAAACCTATCATTTGACCATCCATGATGGTTATAGAAAATGTTTGTATCCAGCTTGAAATGAAGATTGCTCAGTCGGCAATTGAAGGGCAGAAATTCCAGTCTCGAAAATAAGTCGAAGAATTTAATGCAATGACCTAGTTGAACAATTGAAATATGTTCTATATTTCCAACACTCATTTGAAAAGATTGTCTACTTTGATAACATACAGCTTAGAGATTATGTAATCATCAGCACACTAACTGAAAGATTGTCTACATTTCCAACACTCGCTTGGGAAGATTGTCTACTTTGATAACATACAACTTAAAGATTATGTAATCATAAGCCCACTAACTGAAAGATTTCCTACATTTCCACACTAACTTGAAAAGATTGTCTACTTTGATAACATACAGCTTAGAGATTATGTACTCATCAGCCCACTAACTGAAAGATTTTCTACATTTGCAATACTCACTTGAAAAGATCGTCTACTTTGATAACATACAGCTTAGAGATATTATGTAATCATCAGCCCACTAACTGAAAGATTTTCTACATTTTCAACATTCACTTGGGAAGATTGTCTACTTTGAAAACATACAGCCTAGAGATTTTATGTAATCAGCAGCCCACTCACTGAATGATTTTCTACATTCCCAACACTCACTTCGGAAGATTGTCTACTGCGATAAATAAAAGCAACTGACTATATAATGTTAAATATTTAGCCAGAAGAATCATGGAGAGAGATGAATATGGTTTTGGAATAGGAAAGCATGTACATGACACAATTTCAGACATGTTACTTGTAAGGTATGGTTTACAAATTAAGTCTCACAACTGGAATACGTCTACGCTGGGTTTTTTTTCTACAGACCTGACACAAACACTTATCGTTTTTAAATCTTTATGAGATTCTATAATTGTTGAATACTTTTCATTATTTCTATTTTGTAGAATTGATTGCGAATAACTCAATACATGGCCAGAACAAGAGAAAATCCGACAATTTTTTTTCTCAATAAATCTGATGATATTTATATATACATGATCTGATAATAATTTATTATTTTCAATGCATACTTTCTGGCGATTAAGTATTTAAAGTGTGTGAATGAAGGAGGCGTCTCGATTACTTCAGAAACATTCGAAGACATGCAAGATTGTTACTATTTGAAGTAACTAGAACGTCAAAAATATTTTTTTCTGTATGCTAATTATAGAAGTATGACGCATCCCGATGAATTGTAGAGAGTGTTAACCGTTGCAGATAAATGATTTACCGTATTTATTATATTAACCATTACATGACTTGTGAGAAGACGAGACGTGTTGTTCCGTAGTTTCACTATGTTCTATCTTTAGAGAACGCAACTAAAATGTGATGATTATGTAAAACCACAGGTATGTTCACACCTGTTTTATTAAGCTGAAATCTCGAACATCATATTTATGCAGGATAGACTTCAATATATATTGAATGAAGATTGATTCATTGTTGGTTGCTTAACGTCCAGTGGCAAATATTTCATGCATATTCAGGACGAGAACAAATTAACAATAATGTAATATTTTAATGTTTTGTAAATATTGACCTCTGGTTAAATTGGCTTTTTAACTGTTTATTTGTGTACAGAGAAAATTAATGACGCAAGGCTAATTTGACAAATGGCTAGTTTTATTATCTGCAGATAAAGTTGAACTGTCAGATGTAATTAAGACAAGTAGCGATGTCTTGGGGTGTAGGGTAATAAAATTAGTTATGCCTATTTGTTTGTCTTGAGATGCAGTAATTAAACTCTATGATAAAGGTCAGTTGGTCAAGATACTGGAAGATTGTGTATCAGCTGTGATACTGGAAGGATGTGATTTTCCTTGAAGTCTTGAATCAGTATAGATTCTGGAGGACTTGTATTTAAAGTTTATATGTTTAAACTTTGTTGCTAATAATTTGTCAATAAGTCTGAAGTAATGTACATTTGTGAATAAACTTGTAAATAGATACCGTATTATTTAGTTAATGGAATTTACCACAGGATACATTGTCGTGCCATAGATGGCTATGTCCGTCCGTCTGTGTCGTTGTCGTTCCTCCCCTCGGTCACGTTACAATAAATACAACAGGTAAGTTCTGTAATAGGGGCGTCCGGGATTAAGGTCGGAGAAATTTAGACTGCCTCGGGAAATGAGGGTATATTGGATAGGGACAGAAATTTAGCCTTGCAACAGGTCACCTAAGGACCCCTCAAAGATTTTTTTTAAGGAATCTTGACGTGCAAAGAGCGTGGCACTCCCTTTACACGAGACATCGGATTTAACGTCCCCATTCTGACCGGACGTGGCTGCAAATTTGTACATCCCGCACAGCCAAACGAACGCCCCACTTTAGCAAGGGTTTTACTGCCGCTCGGAGGAACACCAATGGTGACCATACTTCTATTCCCCAGTCACCCTTGGGGGGAATTGAATGAAGACATCTCGTATCAACTTTACAAATATAAAATACACGATGGTTTTGAAGTAAAGATTGTAGGTACTGACGTTGGTTAGCATGAATTAATCAGCAAATCTAACATCACTAGTAGCACGATTTCAGTCTGAAACGGTCATTTAGGTCTGATCATATCTTAATCGACTGGATTTACCGCTAGAGAAAAACGTCAAGACTTTTTAGATCTTTTCAGACGCCGTACCGATCGATAGTCTCTTCAAGTAAATCAGTCCGTTAAGACATGTCAAGATAAACAAGACTGAATCTTCTAGCAAGCTGTTAAGATCCATTACGACTGATTCAGTCGAAATCAGACCGTGGATACAAAATTACGTCAAGACGTTGTCAGACCGTGTTCAGTCGTGTTCAGATTTTAATAATTTGGACACAAAACGGGTGAAACTTTCCCAGTGTGTATCAGGGGTTGCTCCCCTTTAAGAATAAAATACAAATTAGAAAGAAGACGGTTTATGTTACTTTGATAGTCTACCATGTCTACTTAACCTAATAAAAACTAAAACAATTTTAATTCTTACTTTTTCCTATGTATTTATTAAACATTTTTTATATTTAAAAAAATCTATTGTTGTTGTTTTTTATTTAGGGTTATTTTGCGATCGCGTTTGACTTGTGCATTCGACTTTCCTTAAGGTGTCTTTTATTTTTTATTCTGTATATTTAGAGTCTTTTATAACTTGTTTTACATACCAGAAGCCTTCTTTTAAAAATAGAGTTTATACATTATTGGAGATGATGGCTTATGAATTCATGAATTCAAATTTATATTTGAAATAGATTTGATAAATTATCATGATTATGCGGAAATAAAAATGTTTCGTCGGTGTATCTGAAGTAAATTTAAAGAATATGACTAAGTTACATATATATTATACAGCATAATAAAACTGGTTAAATTTGAATTACTATCCATTAGGGACATTTTCCGATAATAATTAATTAAATCTGTCAAGTTTTATTAAAAACGGAAAACAATTCATCATCCGTAAACGATTTAACGTTACTGTACCTGTACCCTCTTTATTTTTTGTTGCATTCTTGTCGGCGGAAAAGCAGGTCGGCAAACTATATTTTACACAAAATCGTAGAAGGGAAACTTACAGTACAATATGCTGAGCTGAATATTGCAATCGGTGAGTAGAAATGAACAATATTTTAAAGCATGTCTATCAGAATAATCATGGATCCAAGATTTTGAAGGAAAAATGTGCACATTTGTCATGACATGTATGACATTTGTTCCTACAGGTATGAATCAACGTTCTATATCATCGCACTTGTGCATAGTGGCATGTTCCAAGGCAAAGTTAGGATTTAGGCTTGTAAAAAGTTTATGCATCGTTGAAATTCATGTATCATTGTATGACACCATTCCCCTCCGCTTTATCATGTTTATGAAATTATGTCATGTAATCACTTAGGACTTCTGTACTTCACATACATCCCAAGGGTAACAAAGGAATAGAAAAAAGGTTATTCTTCATCCAGTGGCGGATCCAGGGGCCGGAGGTTTCTGGGATTGAACCGGCCCCTTTTTTTTAGAGGATCAATGCAATTGAAAGGGGACATTTAGTTTGAACCCCCTTATCTTAGGTCGGGACCCCCCCCCCCCCCCCTTTTAAAAATGGCTGGATCCACCCCTGTTCATTGTCTTACTGTTAAACCCTAACATGTGGTGCATTGGTTTGGTTGTGCGGGATGGCCTATTACAGGACCTCTACATATTGTATGTTAATGTATTGATAACTGTCTCGTCCTAAATTTGCATGAATAATTTGTCACTGGTTTTTTTATAACCAACAACCAACCAATCTTTACATGTCCATATTCATGATATTCAAATAATAACTTTGCTAACGCTGGTTTATAAGTATGTCCCTTGTTTTACTTAATTACCTTGTGCCCGTTGTGGGCGATGTACAATAATTACTATTATAAAATTATTTAATAGAATTTGAGATAATTCAAGTTGAATTTTACTACATTAATCAAATATTTATATAAAAAATGTTGTGAAAATTATTAATTTTATTGACTTTTTTAGCAAAAATGCATTTTCAGTATATTTTTCAAATAATTCCTGAGTCATGGACAACGAAACATGAATAGATTTTATAATATAAAGCATTGAAAGTCAATGTCTATTAGATGGTTCAAAATAATATTAATCATCAAAATAAAACAATGTTATTAAATTAATATTCCTGAAACAATGCACAGAGTCATAATTTAACAGTTGCCATTTACAAACAGTTGATAAAACAAAATAAGTTCATTATTTCATCATGTACAGTACCCCGGGCATGTACCTAAGGATTCATATTGAACAAGTGTTGTGGAGGTTTCATCTTTTCTCAAAATGAATAATTACAATGAACATGATGAAAAAAATATCTGTAAATATTTTATCATGTTATAGTGGAGGGATGACGCTCTGCACACGGCACACAGATTTGTCTTATATAATTATCAATCCAAAGAACTATTAATCAAATTAGTGTGGCCTAAACTATATATTTTCATTTGAACTTTGTCAGTTATTACATAAATTTTGCCCTGTTAGCATGGTTAGTCAAAATTCATTGATGCCTTTTTACTTGTCTTGATTTTGGGACTGCTGTCTCTTTGGAATATACCCAACATCTCCTTTTAATCGTGTTTTGGAATTGGCAAGAATGGTCGTCCACATCAACAAATATGTTACATGTGCATAAATGTTATCTACATGTAGTTGTAACAGTCAAGTGTCTTTTAATTTATTCTACCATTAACATGTTTAAAGGACTTTCTATTCATCAGTCATATTTTTATGCCCCATTTATGGGCATTATGTTTTCTGGTCTGTGCGTCCGTCCGTCCGTCCCGCTTCAGGTTAAAGTTTTTGGTCAAGGTAGCTTTTGATGAAGTTGAAGTTCAGTCAACTTGAAACTTAGTACACATGTTTCCTATGATATGATCTTTCTAAATTTTAATGCCAAATTAGAGTTTTGACCCGTAATTCACGGTCCACTGAACATAGAAAATGATGCGAGTGGGGCATCGGTGTACTATGGACACATTCTTGTTCTACATGTGTTAAATCACACGTGTTTTGGTTACTTTATTGTTGGGTTGATGTATCATTGATATCTATTCTACATCTCCTTTCATCGTGCTCATTCACATCTGACTGCAGATTTTTTGCCTTTTCCTAATTATTAAAATATTTTATTTATATTTATTTTATGTTTAACATTCAGTATGTGGGGAAAACAAATAAAAAAAATCTATTCCTAAGCATATTTTTTCAGAATGTAGGACAGAAAGTCACAGGACAAAAAGTCACAGGACAAAAACTCCCAATTCAGTTTTGAGAACATTTTTCTTTAAACAAGAAAACACTAATTTAAAAAATAAGTTTTGTTTTTTCTTGAACTATTATATATGAAGCAACTTTGTAATTAAATTTTTTTCAATAAATAACAATAATTATTAAATAATTGCTATGAAAACAAAATGTTAAAGTGGCTTGGTACTTAAATGGCTTCATTGTGCCAAGAAATATATCCTTTGCATGATTAAAATTTAATAAATTTTCATTTATCAAGGCTTATTGGATAAATTGGACTAGCATATGAATTACAGTTTGTGACAAGAAAAACATTTATTGCTTACTTACTGATTTTTTTATTAGTTGTTAGTGGCTTTGAACTACCTGTCAGTAACTGCCAGTACTCTCAGATCTGTTCTTAGTGTCTTTTTGCTGTTTTGATGTACAAGTACTCGGCCATATCCACTTGTATTTGTAGTATTTGTACTTTTATCCGTCTGATGAGTTAAGGCTCTTTCAACTGATTTTTATAGTTCATTCTTATGTTGTACTGTTACACCACTGTCCCAGGTTAGAGGGAGGGTTGGGATCCCGCTAACATGTTTAACCCTGCCACATTCTGTATGTATGTGCCTGTACCAAGTCAGGAGCCAGCTGTAATTCAGTGGTTTTCGTTTGTTTATGTGTTACATATTTGTTTTTCGTTCATTTTTTATTCATAAATTAGGCCGTTAGTTTTCTCGTATGAATTGTTTTACATTGTCCTTTTGGGGTCTTTTATAGCTGACTGTGCGGTATGGGCTTTGCTCATTGTTGAAGGCCGTACGGTGACCTATAGTTGTTAATTTCTGTGTCATTTGGTCTCTTGTGGAGAGTTGTCTCATTGGCAATCATACCACATCTTCTTTTTTATATTATGAACAATTTCCTAAACTTGAAAATGAATATATGTAATAAAAAGAAAATATTTCAAGATCTTTCTCTTATACATTCAAACAATTGTCAACAAATTATTTGTGACTTTTTGTCCTATCAAATTTGTGACTTTATGTCCTGTGACTTTTTGTCCTGTGACTTTCTGTCGGTTTACCTTTTTTTATGTGAACATGGTCTAAACTTATAAGTATTTAATGAAGCTTACAATATTTTTTATAGATATTGTTTTTTTACAAGTAAGATGTCACGAAATTGACTTATCTAACTACATGGTACATGTTTGTCTCAGAATTTGGTTTAAAAAAAAACTATACTTCAACTTCAAAATAAATAATTATAAAAATATATTTACTGAACATGAATTCATGACCAGTCACCATGTGATATTAGAATAGGTAATAATCAGGATGTTAACACTGAAAAAGGTAATTATCAAGACTTTTAATATATGCATGTTATATGTAATAAACAGATTAAGACACAACAGTTTATTGCCTTGAGGGATGAATATTAAACTGTCATGGGTATTGATTTGATTTGATTTTTGGTGTTTTAACGCCACTTTTAAGCACCGCTTTTGGGCTATTTCGTGGCGGCCAGCTTTTATTGGTGGAGGAAGCCGGAGTGCCCGGAGAAAACCACCGACCTTCGATAGGAAAACTGACAATCCTAGTCAATTAAGATTGGAGTCGAGTGCACCGCACGAGCGGTATCGAACTCACAACCTCAGTGTTGACTGGCTAGTGATTACAGTAGTAACTACTTAGACCACTCGGCCACCGAGGCCCCCTCATGGGTATTGAAGATGATTTTATAATGATGTTCACAAATCTTAAACATGTTAAATGTCCTCATCAAATTGCAGATAAATTCATAATTAATTGAAAATTTAAGAAAAATATGAAACAACAGGATATAATTTTATTCTGGTATTTTGGATATATATATATATATATATATATATATATATAATACAGGTTTTAAAAGTTATCTTAATATTGATTTATCAACATAAAAATGGGTAAATAACTAATATAACATAAAGAAAATGTGTGGTCTGGGGAAAATAAAACTGCAAAGCATTATTTAATACAAGCTGTAATAAGAAAAAAGTAAACCGGGTAACTTTGAAAATGTCATATTAAACTCAAGGTTTAATACTAAATATTAGAAGGAAATATTTGCCTTTTTTAGGTTGCTTAAAATGTTAAAAGAGAGGGTTAACCTTTGATAAAGATTCTTTATTTACATGATTTACCTTAAAAAAAGGTTTATTCATTTATGACACAAAATTCTTTCATATATATACATATATATGCACTTGACATAAGGAAAGTCTGTAAGGTAGCAACAGTGCATTTATTTCTGTTTTTTTTTTATCATTCTTTAAACTTATCTTTGTTGTAATTTTATTCCTATCAAAATGATCAAAAGAAATCAGCTGTTGTGTTTAGAGAGAAAAGACTTTAAAGAATTGATCAAAACAAATGTAAAGTGCTAGCCTCAATTAGACAGTAAGCCTTCAATGAAGTACACACATAAGAAAACATTAATGTAGAAAGAGAGACAACATCTTTTTAGAAATAGAACCCCAAAGAAAGATTTTATTCTTCTTGTTATATTGGACTTATATATGAGTTTAATTGTATAAGTCATAAATACAGCTGTATAGAACTTTGTTATCAAGCAAATTAGACTCGCCGGTTTTTCTTCTAGATAAATCGAGTACATTTTGTAAATATATACAATATTAGATTAGTTTCAGTACTTTATTCTAAATGTATTTTTTTTTTGTAGAATTCACATTGGTTTGAGCATGATTCCCAGCCAGATTATGAAGCCGGCATATACATGATAAAGGAAATATATATAGATGTCACTAAGTAACTCTCATAGCTGCTAATTGTGAAACAGTGGATTAATTCATAATTTTGTGTTTACTTATTGCTTTTGTAAATAACAAATAGGGCTTACAGCATGATGTTCCGATTAGATTGGACAAGAAGAAAATTGTGCATTGAACAAATAGCAAACTTACAGTTTGTAAGAAAGACTACATTACTTGATGACAGTGAATACCTTTGATAATTATTCATTTGAAATAACAATTTAGAATAAAGAGAATTCATAGTTTTCTGGGATTATTAATAGTGCATCATATCTGAATTCCATGAATATCTTGGATAGTTATTCATTTAGAATAGCAAATTCGAATAATGAAAATTCATAGTTTCAGTGATTACTCATAGTCAAAACAAATTAAACTTTTATTGCCATATAAACCAACTTATACGATTTGTGACAAAAACAACATTAACATAATAACAAGAAAAAATCATGTATAATCATATTTAACAAACTAATGAAAATAGTTCAAAATTCAATTATGAGTCCCCTATCCTTAGTGCCAATGACTTTTTTTATAATTTATTATAAAGGAACCTATGCTTTCTACCTGTTTTTGTGTTGATGGGCAAAGAATATTTATCATTTTTTTATTCTCATTGAGACTATTAAAATTTTCTATACTTTCAGCCTTTGTTAATTTTTCAATAAAAACTGGTCTAATGGAAGCGTTTTTCCTGCAATACAAAAGAAAATGTTTTCCATCCTCAACTGTATCGCAGGACTGACACAACCGGTTTTCCCTAAGGATTTTTAGGTGTCTCCCTGATAGTGCATCATATCTGAATTCATGAATACCTTGAATAATTATTCATTTAAAATAAGAATTTGGATAATGAGAATTTCTGGTTTCTGTGAAATTTACAATGTATAGTACATCACATCTGAAGTTACATGTAATGCTGTCATTGCTATTGTGAGCTACATGTACCACCAGGGGGTGTTAAACAACTTTGACTACCCATGAGGGTCTGATACAGCCCTCGCATGCTTGTTGGTTAGTGTCAAATGACTGCTTGTTGTACTTATAAGAGTCTGAATGTACATACATGTATATTGATAATAGTCTAAATTACTGGTCATACTGCAACTGGCATTTTATACTGGTCAAGCATATTAAACAATACATGTACAGTACTTCAAAGTATCATTTTATTGTCTCGCCTACGACAAAAGTTGGTGGTATGCAAGAAATAGGTATTACAATCTGGGGGTGATGACGTAAACTTATTTTTAAGCTTTACATTTTGAAAGCTATAATTTCTGGATGCTTCTTATCTTGTATTCAGATACATGTAGCTAATATGTTATGAAGTTTCAGTCTGTCATTATACTCATATGTCCATTGCACCTGACCTCATTTTCATGGTTCAGTGACTGTATGAAAAAAATACTGTTTTTTTTTTAACAGTGAAATGCTCTCTTATATGAGCAGTTGGATACATTTTTTGTAAATGAGTATCTTGCAAGGTCTACTTGTCCATCAGGTTGGATTGACCAGACCTTGACTTTATTTCATGGATTATTTTAAAGTCACATTGTTAAGTTTGTTTCGCAGATACTATATATATATATAATATATACATGATATATATATATATATATAAGCAGTACTCCAGTCATGCCAGTAGATCAACTTCATGTTTATTTGATATATGGAACAATTGACTTTGTACTATTATGTCTGACTGGTAGGGTTCATCATACATTGACCTGTCATATGCATGGGTTCATTGAACAATGTTTAGTTTTTGTGGTTTGATCTATTTTCCAATGTTTTTTTAGATGCTATAAGCTACATGTATAGGATCACTATTTTTGGCATGATATGGAATGATTGTAAGGTGTACATGTTTGATTGGATGGTTTCATCTGACTATGACCTCATTTTCATGGTTCATTGGACAATGTGTAATTTTCATGCTTTAGATGTTTGGTCTTTTTCTCAGAGACTATGTATATAAACCACTAAATTTTGGGTATGGAATGACTGTAATGTGTAACAACAATTCAATTGTACTCATTTACATGTAGGTAAAGCTGAGACGTGACATTTCAGCATGTGCAATCTTATTTACATCACCATCATGACCATTGATCATGTTGATCATAGCTGCTGTTTGTTAACAATAGTCGGAGAACTGTTAGCAATGAGAAAACTATTAACAATAAGTAACATTCGTTTGATAATATTGTAGTCTTGTATAATGTAAAATAACTGGAATAAAGTGATGTGGTATGAATTTCGATGAGACAACCATCAACCATAGACCAAGTGATGTAATTGTTAGTAACTATATAATAGGTCACTGCACACCCTTCGACAATGACCAAAACTAATACTTCATAATGAGTAACCTATAAAAGGCTCAGCCATGCATCTAACACAATGTAACAAATTCTGACGAGAAACCCAACAGTGATGACAGTTTGATTTACATACAAAAGCTACAAACAAACAAATATGATAAACAGCAACTAACAAAACACACTACAGACATCGAAAAATAAGCCTGTATCATGGTGGTCCAACCTACCATTCAAGCATAACAGAAAAATATCAATAAAAACTGATATATACACACAAAATAATTGAGAAACAAAATACCATACATGACTACCAACATTTTTAGGTCACCAGTTGTCAATATAACTAGTAACCATATAAATACAACAAATCCTGAAATAGTGTAAAAACCAAACCACAGCTTTCAAGACAATTTTGTAATGTTATACGATATTCTTGGGTAATAATAATGTCCTTAACTGTAAATTTCTGTATACTTCAATGTATTAGTCCGAGAAATAGGCATTATATATTTTTTTTTTGCCACGTCACTGTCAATTGTCTTCCACCAGTAACAAATATATTGATGTTACATATACCAAGGCCATGATTTGTATACGTATCCTTGGATATACTGTTCTAAGCTTTGACGTATGAGTTTATATATCTCTTCGGTAACTTTCGTTCGATTTGAAATAAATATGAGCTGAACGAATAAGATATAAGAAATAAAATGTAAACATAAACACATGTCCTTATAATTATTTCAAGAACTTTCTCTTATACCCGGTATAATCAAACAATTTTAAACAAGTCATTTGTGACTTTTTGTCCTATAAATTAGCATAAAAGATTTATTTAAAGTCGGTCATACATAAACAATACAACATAAACACTGTAGAGTTTTTATCCGACAGTCCTGTGACTTTCTGTCTGTTTACCCAATTCTATGGGGTGTTGATGGCGCACAAGCTATATATTTAGAAGTATATGTCGACAGCTAGGATCTTATCTTATTCTCAATGTTTTGTATCTGAGCTATTTAAGCTATTATAATTCTTAATTTAGTTTTAAATACTTTATGAATGCTCCGCAAAGATAAAGAAAAAATTGCATTTAATACGAAATTTGATTAAGCATGTTGCATTCGATGTGACCAGACTACCGCTAGGCCATTCCAACTCAGTATATAAAATATCCTTGCATCGGTAAAACTCGTAAATTGAAACATGTATGAATCTGCTTTGACAAAACTATTATTTCACACACACAGACATGCACATTGTATTGGCAGGACAAATAGTCCTGCTACTATTCGTCCGGTTAGCCGGGCAAATAGCAACTGCCTAGAATTTAAGGATGCTCTGATTTTACAATAATTGTATACAATCTGCATGTTATCATTTCACTGAATATCAAGTAATATTTGTCGATGGACTGTTGATGAGTCACAGAAAAGACATATGACAAGTAAACTGTTAACATAAAAAAAAAAAATTTTTTGTCAGTTTCACTATATACTTACGGGATATCATGAATTCTATACAAGCGTTTCTACGTGGTAACTTTTCCCCGGGTTAATGCACGGAATTGTGATTTTTTTTTTACAATTGAATTTTTTTTTTGTTCATTTACCTATGTATCAAGATGGCCTCTATTGACAGTTTTATGGCATTATAACACCGCTGGGCATCCAATTAAAATTTAAACGGAAAGTTATAATATTTATTTTATTAAGCGTTGTCATCCGTATCAATGAATTGTTAATCCAAATTTGAAGTGAGTATTAATAACGTCTAGGATATTAAGTGTGAGATTTATCTGTTGATGTGAATACTCAAAATTTAGCTCAATTTGTATTATCTAAATTTATTAAAAGGCCAGCTAGTGTGTGTTTAAAATGATATTGTTGGAATGGATTTATAGTATGAAAATTGTTTGTGACAGATTTTCAATTTGACTTGGACTGCGAATTTGAAAATAATATATTTTTCAATTCACATTCTACAAGATGACATATTTTGTAAGTATACTTTAACCTTTTATTATTATTATAGTATCTGTGAGATGACCTGTTACTTGCAACTGTCACGTGTTAAAGGCTCGTGCCGCTGAAATAGGTTACCTTTCAAGTTTGAAAATATGTGAATAGGCCGGGAAAACTCAGAAATATATATGATGAAATCAGTAAAGTTCCCATAACTTCTTTGGTAATCTTTCTTGGTGTTCCCGGGTGTGTTTTAATTGAAAAATATTCTTACTTTTGACACTTTGGTATTCCACTCATACATTGCATACCACATAAAACCCAAACAATCCAAGTGCACTTGTAAATGATGAAAAATTTAATTGCGTCCCACCTATAAAGTATAGATTTGATTTGACAATCTTCGTTTAGAGACCTTTGTGATTTATGCAATTCCATTTATGGATTACTAGCATAAAGAATTACATGTACTTTATATACAAATGTCATATTTTCTACATTAAAAGAAGCCTATTTCAAAAACATAACATACATTGTATGTGTAACTTTAAAAATCCTCGAAAAAACTTTATAATTGAAAGTTTCTTTAATATACTCTACACGTATCCCGAAATGTGTTCATACCAATTGTGTTCGCTTAATACTGAACCCGCGTAACTTTAAAAATTAAGACATTACACGATCAGAATATTAAAATTATGTTTATTACAGATATTTAATAATATCCACGGTTGAAT